CTGAGTTGTCTGTGTTGGCTGAGTCCCAAACCATAGAAACAGTTTCATCTAGAGAGTTGCTTCTTACAGACGACAAAGTTCTGGTTACCAGTCCTTGTTTCTCTTCGTCTGTCTCCAAGCAGTCCTTGTTAGCTACATTCGAGCCACAACAGTCCTTGTTAGCAAGAATACAAAGAACAGAACTAAACTCAATAACTGTTTAACTCTTACTTTAACATAGATGTAAAATTATATAACAAAATTAAACTAAAGCTATAGCAAAATCGAACTAATTTTCGATTCCCCACATCAATGTCCCTTGGAATGGCAAGCCTGTCATCCAGTGTAGTGTCTGCTCTCCTAAATGTCACGTCTTCTACAGGTGCTATGAAAAAGCACTCTCTCATCTCCTCTGGGTCATTAAAAACACATTGAACAGAGCAGGTTGCAGGACAGAGCCTTGCCGTTCTTTACTAGCTACAGGTCTCCAGGCTGAGTACAAAACATTGTCCGTGTCTCCCCATGCCTGATCATCCAGCTGATTTCTCTTACCTATCTGCTTATCCACCCACAGACCATAAAATCCCGTCCTGGACACAAGAATGTTGTGGCAGATGATGCTGAAAGCCTTGCTGACTTCCAGTTAAAAGCTGCTCCCCCCACGTCCAGACCACAAAGAAAAGAGGGTGGCCAGGCACAATCTGCTCTGGGTAAATCCAGTCACCTTCTCTTTCTGACACCTAGAAATGTGATCCAAGTGCGCACGCTCTGGGGCACAACGATTTGTTCCTCTTTTAACTGTTGCTGAAGCACTCAACACTCATTGTGGTTCCCTGGAATTGCTTTACAGGTTTAGACTGGTTTGTCATTTGGACTGTCCCTGTGCTTGAAGAGTGCTGTCCTTGAAGACCAGCTGTACCAGCCTCTGCCACCACACCCTGGCAATGGGTTTGGTCAGTGCCACAGCTCTGTCTCTGACATGAACGGCTCCAGTTCATCCTGTCTGTGCCCCTGCCTGAGGGTATTTCTGCACATTTGGACTGAAACAGAGATGCTGTCCAGACAAGCTCATATTTGTCATAAGGAAACCTGGTATCAAGGGTCCAAGACCCCATGTGTGCAAAGGCTTTGTTTCAGAGCAGAGACATGGCGTGGACAGAAGAGAGCTGAATGTGTTTCTAGCCTTAGGAAATGCCTAAATTAACTCAATTAAGGTCATCCCACACTCAGCTTGGAAGAAGAGATCTTTCCCTGTTAACTTTCTGGTGTCCTGCCTAAATAGGAGACAAAAAAAATTCTTCTCATGCCCAACACCTTTTCTGACAGGAGCAATGACACTGCTGGAAGTAAGCCTCTCTCCCCAGCTGAGGGAGAGAACATCAGTGATTTCTTCAACCTGTTTCACAGCAGGTTCCCCTGGAGCCCCAAGGGTATCTCAAGGGAGTCCAAAGGGAGCAGAAAGAGAGATTGATTGGGCTGGTCCTCTGCTGCTGAGCTGGGCTGGGCTCCTGGGATGGAGGGAGCTCATGACAAGCAGGCAGTGCTACAGAGAGACAGCTCTGCCTAGGAGCGGCTTCTCTACAAAGTGCAGCAGGGCTGAGAACACTGCCTGCAGGCACTGAGGGGAGATCAGTGAGGCAGAGGCAGGTTATAGGGAATCAGAGGTAGAAGGAAATTGAGCTGAGAACTCACTGGGTGAGAGCTCTTCACAGCCCTCTACACGGTAAGTCACTGAATGTCAAGCAATGTAGCTTGTGTTCCTGAAGGCATCTCCAAAAACCAGCACACCCTACAGCCTGTGAAATCTGTCAGGAGGACTCTCACAGTGACTCCAGTGTAGAGAATGAGGATGTGCTCCTAAGTAGGGTGTCTCTGCTGCACCACCAGAGGGACAGGATATGGCGGCTGCCCCCTCCTGGGGATGGCTGTAGGGGTGTGAAGATGCATGTGCAGACAGGGGTGCCCAGGCCTGTCCTTCACAGCAGGGTCCCTGCACCCCGGGGCTGTTTGCTGGGGCAGGGACTCTGCCTCCTTCCAGGGTCAGCACTCAGCCTGCCTGGGGAGATCAATATGGTGCTGTGGGGAGAAGATGCGGGTGGAAGAATTGATCCCAACCAGGGCAGGGTCCTTCAGCTGTGGAGAGGGTGCTGCATGGGTCAGGGTTGCTCACAGAGCCAGCTCATGCCAAGGTCAGCGCAGGGGATTCCTGCCGGAGTCTGTGCTTTCTTGAATCTGCGCTTCTACTTTTCTCTGGCTCAGCTTGGTGGCAATGGCAACCCAGCTGTGCTGGTCAGAGCAGGGGCTGAGACTCTTCAGCCATCACACTGAGGTTTGCTAGGAACCTCAGCAAGTGCCTTTAACCCCACCAGCCTCCAGATAAAACCAGCATCACCTTTCCATTTTCACCAGGGTTTGTGTGACCTGTTCTTTCAGCCCTGCACACACAGAGTGGTTGTGCAGGGCAGAGCTGTGCCCACGGGGACTGGGACGGGGTCTGTGAACGTGGACAGGGAAGAAGCACGGGGCCAAAGAAACAAGTCCCAGCAGGGACAGCTCCAGGCAGTGCAGACGTTGACGGGGAGGGAGGGATATGTTAATGTAAATACTGTTGCAGGGGAGCCCTTGACACCTCCCAGCCATGCCTTGTGGACAGACTCCTTCCCTGAGTGACAAACCTCTTGTCTCCTCTTTCACCAACAAAGCCGTTAACCCGTGGGGTCTGGTCCATTAGTCACCTCCTCGTCTAGCAAACTAGAAGAAGAGATGAAATGCAACTCTCCTGCCAAGTGCCCATTTCCGACTGACCAGGGCCCAAGGGCGCCTGCCCTGCATTGTTGTCTGGGAGACGGTGTGCAGAGCAGGATAAGGAAGATGTTTCCTGAGTGCCCAACTGTGCCTCTACTTTCATTGGATGTTCTTGGAATTGCTGTCAGGCTCTCTGTGAATGCGAGTTTCAGCTGCAGAGTCAGGCACAGACCTTGTGAGTCCTCCTATTCAGATGTGTCCACAGCAGTGAGGTGTGCCGGCTTTCCTCAAACCTGTGAAGCTCTGGGCAATGCAGTCTGTGAGGCTGGGGAATAAGCTGACTCTCCATTAATAAGTTGCCATGGCTAGGACCCTTGGCTATCTTCTTGGGGTATCCATCCAATGGCATGCAACTTCCAGGGGACACTATGAGCCATGTCAGTCCTTGGCTAGAAGTGGGGAATGGAGATTTGGAGAAAGGGTGAGTCATTTCATGATCTGCAGTGGCTCTCTGCTTTTAGAAGTGTCTGTTTGCTTTTCAGTGTAATACAAGAGTATAATCACCCTCCATCTTTGAAACAAGCAAGTCCAAAGCAGTTGGGAAGAAGACAGAGGAAGACCAGCTCCCGTGATTCTGCACCAAGCCACAGGCAATCCTTTTGCTAGAAGGACTCGGTTTGGTCTCCCTGAGTGCAGCAGAAAACACTCTCCAACTGCCTTTTGCCATCCCCATTCCTGAGCACTGGGAGAGCAGCCACTGACAAGCCCTTCCACCTTAGGAGCAGGTCTGTCTGACAAAGTCAAACACCAGGACTGGCCACTGACCCCAGCATTGCAATGAACTCCGTGCTGCAGAGCAGGGCAGCCAGCAGCACCCAGCAGGCAGCACCACTGCTCATCATGGCACACTCAGCCAGCACAGACCAGATCTCCAGCCATGCAGCTGAAGGAAGGTCTGCTAGAAAAGAGTATGACCTGTAGCTCAGGGGGTGGGTCTAGGAGAAAGGGCTTTGACTTTTCTCAGAGAATTCTACCCTAACTTGTCACTGTCTCTTTCTTTTTGGACAGTACTCCATGCTGACTGGAAGCAAATGTCCAACAGCAGCTCCTTCACTGAATTCCTCCTCCTGGCATTGGCAGACACACGGGAGCTGCAGCTCTTGACCTTCTGGCTCTTCCTTGGCATCTACCTGGCTGCCATCCTGGCCAACAGCCTCATCATCACTGCCATAGCCTGTGACCACCGCCTCCACACCCCCATGTACTTCTTCCTCCTCAGCCTCACACTCCTTGACCTTGGCTGCATATCCACCACTGTCCCCAAAGCCATGGCCAATTCCCTGTGGGACATCAGGGCCATCTCCTACATGGGATGTGCTGTACAGTTGTTTTTCTTCCTTTTCTTGTTCACAGCAGAGTATTGTCTCCTCACCGTCATGGCTTATGACCGCTACATTGCCATCTGCAAACCCCTGCACTATTGGACCCTGCTGGGCAGCAGAGCTTGTGTCCACATGGCAGCAGCTGCCTGGGGCACTGGGTTCCTCTATGCTGTGCTGCACACTGCCAACACATTTTCAGTCCCCCTCTGCAAGGGCAATGCTGTGAACCAGTTCTTCTGCGAAATCCCTCAGATCCTCAAGCTCTCCTGCTCAAACGCCTACCTCAGGGAAGTCTGGCTTACTGTAGCTAGCATCTGTTTAGCTTTTGGCTGTTTTGTTCTCATTGTGGTGTCCTATGTGCAGATCTTCAGGGCTGTGCTGAGAATCCCCTCAGAGCAGGGGCGGCACAAAGCCTTTTCCACCTGCCTCCCTCACCTGGCCGTGCTCTCCCTGGTTATCAGCACCTCATTCTTTGCCTATCTGAAGTCCCCATCTATCTCCTCCCCATCTCTGGATCTGGTGGTGTCATTTCTGTACTCGGTGGTGCCTCCAGCGGTGAATCCCCTCATCTACAGCATGAGGAACCAGGATCTCAAGAATGCAGTCTGGAAATCCATGACTGCATGGTTTTCTATAGCATTAAACTGTTTATCATCTGCAAATCACTCATAATGTAAGTCGTTACAGGCCCAGCCCATCTTCTGTAGTTTTATTTCGGGATTTTGGGGGACGTTTTTTTTTTTTTTTCCCTCTATGTTTTACTTTATGTATTATTTTCCATCAATTAATGCCGTTATTTGTGCCATTTCCAGTTATGTATGTATCCAGCTTCTGTGTGACCCACAGACCATGTAAATGAGAAGCCATGCTCTCTATGTGTTTAAACAATATAAAAGACCTTCCAGAGACTTTTTTGTCTGAGATCCTTCCTTTGAGACTTTCCCTGGAGCTGCAGGGGCAGTGCACATGTGCAGAGGGAGGGGCGAGAAGAGTCCTGGCAGGGCAGCACTGT